TCACAGAGACTTCAAACAGTCTGTAATGCATTTCAGCCTGAAATCGGTACCTGAAATAGAGCAAATGATTGGTGTCTTAAAAGGGCTTGTTTTCTCTGGCTGTAAAGGAAGTTCCATGGTAGTCACCTAAGGGTGGGTTAATGATACTACCCCTGTGCTGTCAGGGGCAAGGGGAGAGGGATGTTTGTCTTGTCCAGTGGTCTAGCATTAGTGGGGGCCTGTTGTGTGTCTGTATTTCAGAGCTCCAGGACTTGGGCTCCTGTAATGTGTGTTTTCCAGTGAGGAGAAATAGCAAATTTTAAAGGCTTAGCATAAACCAAACTTGTGCACGCCTCCGCGCTGTAACAAACATGATGCTAACTTCCATCTGCCATGTATCACAGCATTTGTAACTTTGATGCTCACTCCTGAGAGGAATTGAAATATCAATGCTGTTTTTCAAACACCTAAAATGTTATCATTAGCTACTGCATTATGTGCCACGTTAATGCTATGAAACGCAGGTAATATTTACTCAGACTTCAGGGAACAGGCACAATGCCTTTGCTCAGATCCCTTGCATGTGCGGAGGAGCCAAAGCCAGGGTGGTTCTCCCTGCTGTGCTCTCAGCTGCCAGCTGTGGTCTGTCCACCTGCAAAGCAGATAGCGATGTGGGAACCTGGCTGGTTTGCAAGGCTGAGCACCCTTTTAGAGGAGCAGTGTGGGAACGAATCCCTTGGGATTGGGCGCTGGGTAATTCCTGGTGCTTACATGGCACATACAGGGGAAACAAATGTTTAGGAGGCAAGGTTTTTCCTGCCTGCTCCCAATTGAAAACGCAGCACTGCATGGTATGAACTGTCACCAGTAAGTGCTCAGCAAAGGGATTTGGATTTGGATCTGGATCTGGGCATATGGCAGGAGCTGGTCTTGAGTGTTTGGGAAAGGGCCAAGAACGTCCTGCTCTCTTCCTGGTCTCTGCTGCTCCAGTTCATTCATTGAACCTTTTCCTTTTGATGCTACTGTCAAAACCCATAGATATAATCAGAAGAGAAGTGCACCAGTGACATAAATACTATGAAAATACCTTGGACTGCAAAAAAAAGAGAGGGAACAGTGGGGATTTTTAGCAATATTAATTTCTTGAGTTTTTGATGCTGAGATGTCTCAATTGGTGGAGGAGAGCAGCTGTTATGTGCCTCCACTGTCAGCTTGCTCTCTGCAGTGCCAACTTCTATCTTGATTTTCTGTCTCCTGCTGTCCGCGCTCATATCTCTTCTGTCTCCTCATAAACACTGCACAGTGCAATTTGTCAATCAGGAAGGTGATATTCCTGCATCTTTTTATGAGCCCTGCTAGTCTTCTCATCTCTGACTTAGCCACTCATCCCCAGCAGCCTGATGGTGCCAGCTTTAGCCTGGCCACGTTTCCTCCATCTTCCTTGCCCCACTGCTTCCCATCCTGACCATCTCCAGGGACCAAGCACCTTGGTAGAGTAGGACTTGGGGAAATGCACAATGGCGTTTAAAACACCAGTCAAACAGCCACTTACCCCACCCTCTATCCATTTCTCACCGCTAGTGTAACGACAACAATCCTAAATGTTACTGTTTTGTTGGTTTTTTAAAGGCTTATTGAAAGGTTACAGTGTGTGGGCTGGGGTTTCCTTTCCTTGCAAAACAAAGGCAGAGCTGCTTGGGCAGTCTGGCTGAAGTTGTGGGATGCTCTCTGGAAGGGATCTGGGAGACAGACCTTGGTCTTTTGACCCAGAGCTATTGGAGGTCGCAGGGACTTGGGGTCAGGTCGGGGAGCTGGCAGCAAGCGCTGTTGGGTGCACTGGTGCCAAGGGTGTTTCAGGGCCACTGGAGGGGAGGGAGGTGACCTCAGGGCAGGTAGCTGGTGGGGCAGCGAGTGACCGGCGTTATAAAAAAGCCAGGTAGGCACAGCTTGGTGTTTATACCCTTCTCGCATAGAGGTGCTCGGACACGAGGCAGCACCAGGTCTTTGGGGGCTGAGTTAAATGCTGGTTTGACGTTAAAAAAAAAGCCAAAACCAAAACATGGTAATTGTTCGAGGTGCCTGAAAAAGGTTGGCAAAGTGAACTCATATCTGGCCGGGGAGAGGGGTATAATTTTGTTGCAGGTTGAGAGGAAAATACATCCTACAGGATCTGCAGCAGGGGTCAGGTAGGGAAGAAGAGAGAAAACATCTGCTGAAGGTGTGCATGTGCCTCAGAGCGAGCAGCTTAACGGTGCCCATCTCAAGGCCGAGGGGCTGTGGGACAAGCAGTGGGGCCAGGGCGGTGCCAGGGCCTCCCTGCATAGGGTGCAGGAGGAAGGAGAAAAAAGATGCTCGTTGCACTTGGCACCTGCATGGTCCTTGCGTAGTCCTCACAGGGCAGCAACGCTCGGTCCCCAGGCTGGTAATGATAGGGGGAAAAGGCAGGAGATTTTGGAGGATGAAATTAAGCAGGCATCCACAACAGCAGACTGACATGTCTGGTTTCACAAGATGCTCTGTCGAGCCATGGTGGTGTTACAGCACAGGGGATGCACTCTGGATGCTGTTCTCTGTGGAAGCTACAAGCTGGGCAAATTCAGATAATCTGCAGTTTACAGAGCCCTGGCTCAATCCTGACTGTGCTCAGGTTTCCTTAAGTCACTTATTTAGCAGTGCCAGTGTCTCTTGTGAATCCCTGTAAACCTACAGCCCTTGCCATGTCCTCTGGGCTGTGCCCCCACCCTCCCAGAGCAGGGCTCTGCTGTCTGAAGGCCTCTTTCTTCTACCCATGGCAGCAGAAACACCTCCTCCCCACCCAGGGAGGACTTGCAAGCGCTCCTCACAGAGCATCAATGCCACCATTTACACTCCCCGCCCCCCATAGGTACCCTCCTTCTGGCTCCCTCGCCTCGTGGCTGTGCTCATCATCCACAGCTTGGCTGTGGGGAGAACCCAGTTTGCAGAGCAGAGACCCATAGCCTGCTTCAAAGCAACCTAATTGCACTTGCGGCGTGTTTTTATTAGCAGAGAGGGGGTGTTATGGGCACAGAGGATTTAGCAACTGCCAAATACAGGCAAGGAAGTTGCCTTCCTTCCACCCAGGCTAGGGCAGAGGGAAAAGCTGGGTGTACAGCTGGGGTGTGCTGGTCCTGTCCTAAACTTGCACGGGCAGAGAGGTGCGGCTGGACTGTGTCAGGGTGTGTGCATGCGTGCACACGTGGGGGTTTGCAAATTCCCTTTCGTATTATCTGTAAGTGAGTAGGGACTACCTGTGCTGCTGGCTTACTGCGTTGTTTGGAGTAGATAATCCATGCTACAGCAAGAAACCCTGGGGTATATGTGGTGCGTGTATATGTATTCATATATATAATTGCATGTATATACCCATACATGTGTGTATGTTTTGTTGCCTGTGTTTTCCAGAGAAGAGGTTTCATCCCCTGGGCAGCAGCTGGAGGAAGCACCAGGGGTGCTACACTCCCTCCATGCAGCGGATGGGATCCTCCCTGTACACCTCCATTTAGTATTTCCTTTCCCTTGCACAAATGTGTATGCAGGCGTGAAAATACGCGTGTCCTCTCCTTCTAGACCTACGTTTTGTGCACCTGGCCTGAGGCACAGGGGAAGGCTGAGCCCTGGCAGGGGAATTGTCCCACCCAGGTTTCAGCACCCTGGTCCATGGCGCAGAGCAAATGCCGCTCCCAAGCGCACGCGTTAGGAGGATGCCGTCCCCAGGACGGAGTTCCAGTGCTTGACATGGGCAACGCCGTAGTTGCTTGTATGCGTCACGGTGGGAAGTGTGTGAATGGAATAAATTTAGCAGTCAAAACACAGGGCCAGCGCCGTTGGTCATTAACTGCCAGCCCGTCTCGTCATCCTGCAACCACAAGGAGCTTTTTTAGGGCTGGCGTTCTGGTGGAGGCTGGAGGAAGCGTGGGAGGCCAGTTCCCGGTGACACCTCCACGTGTGGTAGTGCTGCCTGCCAGTGCCATTGGCTGCCCCCTGCCCAGGGCCGGCACCGGCCAGCAGTTAAATGCCCGCGCGGCCAGACCAGGACACACAGCCCGGGGCATCCCAACACAGGCAGGCAGCTCGTCCCATCTCGAGCACCTGAGGACATACCACCTTGCACAACTCAAGGTAAAGATTTTGGTTTCTTTGGGTTGCTTTAGCATTGCCTGGAGTGAAAACAGCAACATTTGGGGACAGGGGCTGTAGATTTGCTTGCAGGTAGGAAGCAGGAGGGACTTGTAAGCTGGGATGTAGCTGTTGCTTCATAATGGAAGTAATCAGGAGCACGGCTCTTTGCTCCAGTGCATTGCAGGTGCAGGGTGATTTGCAGAGCAGTTAGTGTGCTCCATGGGGATGAGGTGTTGGGCTGCTTAAGGGACTTGGAAAATGAGAGCAGAGCTGGAGGAAATCCCCTCTGCTTTACCTGCCTGCTCAGGCAACAGCGCCGCTGGGATGCCAGACCAACCCAGCAGCCACTGGGGATGCAGCGCTCCATGGTTATCTTACCGGGGTGCTCTGCTTTGGGGAGGCAGGAGGTTTTACGGGGCTGTGGGGACCGCGCTGGATGGGAGGCACAGCTCTGCAGCTCACAGTCCCACAGCGCTGCCCATCTGTGGTGCCGGCTCCCACCACGGCCACCGAGCTTGGCTGGGTGGTGGGTGACGTTGCTGTGGGAACAGGGAATTTGGAGCAGCTTTCCTGCTCTTTAATGATGCTTGGACAAAAAAATCTGCAAGAACATGACCAGGTATTTCAAATCCCAAACTAAAGGGAAGTTCTTGCACAGGAGGTACCAGAATGTGGCATGAAGACAAATCCTTGGATTGTTTGATGACATGCCAGGCTGAACACCATGTGTCAGGATGGCAAGGCTGTATCAGTTGGAAGGGCTTCATGGGGCCAAGTTACAGCCAGGGGCGGTTTGACGTTCTTTGCTGTGGTGTGCAAATGCTTTGCTGTGGTGTGCAAATACTTTGCTCCCTGTTGCAGCTGCAGAGACCACAACCAACATGAGGGCTGCTTTCCTGGTGCTGCTCCTCTGGGCTGTAGCCTGCGCTCACCCCGTAAGTACCCACTAGACAGGTACTCAAACCCCAAACCCCAGCAATTTCACCCAGCCAAGGTGCACCGATCACTGATAGGGTGTCTCCTGGATATGTTTAGGTGCCTGACCGTGAGCCCACTCGCCCCCGCCGCAGTGCCCAGCAGGAGGTAAGCCAGAAAGTGTCCTGGTCCCCAGGTGGCAGCTGCTCACAGAGCAAGTCTGGGATGGGGAGGCAGCCCTGAGCAGGCATCCTTGGACGACGCACCTGGGGGAAGATCTGCTGCTTCTGCTAGTCTTTGAGCTTTGCCTGTCTCCTCAGTCTTTTCAAGCTGGATTGGTTTTGCCTCGCCTCCCTGTGCACGCTTCCAGTGCACCTGATGTATTCTGCTGTGTAGGTCCCAAAAAAGGAGTTTCTGTGCTCTGAACCATCACGGTTTGGGCTTTTCTGGATTGCCCTTTTGTTGGCGGCTACTCTTTTTTTTTTTTTTTACATCAGCAGAAAGAACTGGAGGGCTGAGATGCGAGCAATGAAAAATGCTTGAGCACTTGCATGGCTTAGGAGCAATATATCATCCTGCAGCAGTAGCAGTAAACGTGCACTGGTGTTTAATAAACCAAAGCACTGTGCAATGTTTTGCCTCCAGGACACAGCAAGTGAAGATTACATCAACAAGCTGAGCAACTTCCTGAGTGGTGGAGATGGCAGACATCCTCCTGCCAGTGCAGAGATGGGAGACAATGCCCTTGCCAGGGACCTGACTGGTGGGAACACTGTGAGCAAGGAGCTGGGTGAGCGTGGTGGCCAAGTCAAGGGAAGCAAACTTGGGGAGGCTCAGCATTTGAACCAGGTGCACCACGAGGACCCAAGTGCCCGGGATGGGAACAGCCTTGGTTTCCTGGTGAGTGAGCAGAGGAGGGTGTTTTTCTCTACTGGGAAAGCATGCTTAGCCCCAAATCTGCTGTTGATCAGGGCAGCACTCAGCCTGCACGGCGAGCAGTGCTGATAGTGCCTGTGACCTGCAAGTCTTTGCATTTGTCTCCATTTGTCACCTCCACAGGAGGAGGATGCACGTGATGCTGATGATGGTGACAATGGACAGCACCATGGCACTGGAGTCAATGGGCTTCCCTCCCACGACGGTGGGCTCCTGGACGAGGAGGATGACAGTGGGGATGATACCTTTGATGTGAATGGGGAAGAGGAGGGGGGTGAAGGTCCTACTTATGTGGCTGGTGCTGACGGGACAGGTGAACATGGCCATGATGCTGGCCATGGGGACACGGGGGCTGGCAGAGGGCACGGTGACAGCAGCAGCAGTAGCAGCAGTGAGAGCATTGGGGTGGACCACTGGCGGTATAGGAACTA